ATGTAATCAGGCTGAGCAGCGAGGAAGAAATGATGAATGAGGACATCATTTTGGAAAACACATATCTCCTGACTGCTTATCTCAATGACATAAGAGGACTTGAATACAGTATGGAAAATAAATGCAGATGGGGGCTCAGCATATCATGCTGGAGAATAATAGCTCAGAGGGCTAGACCTGGCCAGAAACTATTTATTATTTAGAGCATTGCTGTTATAATTTATAAAGGTTAATCATTAAAACTTTAATTCTCCTAGAGGAAAATAGCTGAAGAGTTCTGGCATTTGTCATACTTGCATCAGGAAGGGACCGCGGGCAATGAAAAACACAACCTTGTGGGGAGAACCGGTGCCTGTGGTCTGCACAACTGGTGTCACTGGGGAGGGAAATGCATCTTTGCTGATCAGCCTGAGAGTGTGGCATGGTCCTTCCCACCTATGGCCGGATCTAGTGTTGGCTGGCCTCACCATGGGGGAGCACTGGGGGCATCGATGGGCGTGTGCGAGGAAGCGAGGTGTAAGTGGTGCACAAAGAGGCTGGCAACACTGCTTACAGCAAGGAGCAGGCACCAGGAAAGCCCTCTGTCTTGTGAGGAGCTCATTGCCTGTCCGCCCTCCTGGGCTGGCAGCAGACTCGCAGGATGTTGCAGTGCATGAAGTCTCTAGAGGGCAATAGAAGGAAGGGGCTCAAAAAAAACTTCAAGAAGTGGAAGAGCAGTAAGGTTGTCTATTCATTTCTAAATCTGCTCTTTTAGCGCAGGCTGTGTTCATTAATGGCCCTATAAACTGGCTGAATAAGGAGAAGAAGAAAGGGGAATAGTCGTCAAATAATTTGCTTTTAAAACACTCCCATGTTCCACTGAAGTTATTTATTTGTGATGCGACTTCCTCTAGATAGAATAAATCTGATAAAGTCTGGCCACACAGAACTAAAATAGCATTTGAGCAGGCTTATTCAACACAGACCAGTGTGTAATTATGGAATGATCCACATTTTCATCTGGAGTGGAGCGGGCCACTCTGCCATGAACAAAAAGGGGAAAATCTGCACTGATAATATTAATTCTATAAGAAAAAGAATGGGCCTTCGCAAATGCAAGTCATCAAGACATGTCTGTGTTTTGGTGGGCAAACACTACTCAGCACAAGAACAAGGAGTACAGCAAATCCCAGAACAGGTCCAGGGAGAGTCTGCATTACGGGAGTATTAATTATGGTAAATAGAGATGGCAGACAAGTCAGTGTTTAAAAAATAAATGGAGGGCTAGGCCCTAGCTGAAGCCATGCTCAACCTCGAACAACCCTCAGACTTTCAATATTTGAACTGTGAGACCGCAGACAGTCTTCAGTGCTAATTGAAGAATGCTTATGAATGCAACACAGCACAGTTTGCTTGACCTCCACGTCAGGCGTATTTCATTGCAGAAAAAGCCTTGAACGTTGCGTGAATCCCAGCCCAGCTGCCGGCAGAGCGACAGTAAATCAGCTCACATTGCAGCTCGCTGCCCAGGGAGCAGCCAGAAAACATCCAGCCCTGCTCGAAGGTCTGCAACAGCCGGATGCAGGGGAAGAAGAGCTTTGGTTAGCAATCTGAGTCTTAAATGAATTGAATTATGAGCGGGTATTAATTAGTGTCTCTGTTTATTGGCATTGCCATAAGATCTGCCATTAATTCACGGCGTGGCTGTTTTGACTTACTCATGAAATGCAGGTACCCTGGGACGCAGACCCCCGAGCGCACTCCTCACAACCCTTGTGTGCAGACACAGCCATATGTAACTGTTGGGAACAAGGTGAAAGCAGCAAAGAAAACATCGCATTTATGTTTATTCTTGTTGACCTCCCTCACTCCTGGGAGGCGTAAGTTAGAGCAAGCCCAGCCTGGCGATGTCTCTCACTTGCCTGCGCTACTCTGAGGCTACTGCAGCCCAGATATTGAGAGAGCCTGGGTATAACGCAGCAACGCAGCCGTGCATGGCCTTGGAGCAACACTTGGAGCAACATGCAGCTTTGGTTCTCCCAGGGAAGGGGGCGTGAGTGGGGTTAAGCTGGGGAAGGGCCAGGAGTGGCTCCTGCCCAAGGCAGCAGCAGCAGCCTCTGGAGCAGGTGTTGGCATCCCTCCTGCCAGCAGTCCATGATGGAGGGCCGGAGGATTGCATTCAGAAAGCTTGCGGGTCCCTGCGGAATGGATGCTTAGACTCATTCCAAAATGACGGATCAAGGTTTAAACAGAGCAAACTGAGGACTGGGACTGAACTGTTCATGGAAATCCTTCAATGGCCTCCTTACTGAAAAATGCAATTATCCTTTCAGTATTTCTCCCCCCCCCCCCCCCCCCCCTTTTTTTTTTTTATTTATTTCACTTTTAAAGCATATGATTTCCAGTTTTTATTAGGTTCCCCTTGTTTCTGATTTACCTTGGCAATTATCTTTAAGTAGGACTGTAGTGCCATGAACCCAAGGAGTTCTGCCTGCTGAAAAGCCGCTAAATCTTGGAAACCAACCTTCTCTATGTCCAGAGAAGGGCGACGAAGCTGGTGAGGGGCCTGGAGAGCAAGTCCTATGAGGAGCGGCTGAAGGAGCTGGGCTTGTTCAGCCTGGAGAAAAGGAGGCTCAGGGGTGACCTTATCACTCTGTATAAGTATATTAAAGGAGGCTCTAGCGAGATGGGGGTTGGCCTGTTCTCCCATGTGCCTGGTGACAGGACGAGGGGGAATGGGCTAAAGTTGCACCAGGGGAGTTTTAGGTTAGATGTTAGGAAGAATTTCTTTACTGAAAGGGTTGTTAGACATTGGAACAGGCTGCCCAGGGAGGTGGTTGAGTCACCATCCCTGGAAGTCTTCAAAAGACGTTTAGATGTAGAACTTAGGGATATGGTTTAGTGGGGACTGTTAGTGTTAGGTCAGAGGTTGGACTCGATGATCTTGAGGTCTCTTCCAACCTAGAGATTCTGTGATTCTGTGATTCTGTGATTCTGTGAAATCTAGTAATGGGACAGCAACGATGGCTGGAGCAACACCTCCTCAAAACAGGGGAGGCAGAAACCTCAGATACAAATGAGCTCTTTGCACATAAGAGAGTGAGTGATGAAGGCAAGGCTGCTGCATGGGGTCTCAGTGGCCTGGGCTCAGTGGTGGCCCACAGGCTGCCAGCACTGTGGCTCAGCCTGCACATAGAGCTGCGCTGAGGAAGATGCTGCCCTTTCATTCCTTCTCTCTCCATCTGTAGACTGGGGCTAGAGATAGTGCCTGCTAATTGAAGTCAGGCAGGGAATGCTTTCAGCAACACTCATTTTGAAGACTGCTGTGTGATTATCTCATGGATCCCACAATAAATGTCAGAGTATTATATATGACAAAGAGAACCTCTGGCTCGTAAAACAACCCTTTTTGGGAGTACCATAGAAACCTGTCAAGTGTTCATCCTTCAAAGGATTCTGCTGTGCAGGCCAAGGGCTCCTCACTTGCATGCAGAACAAAAACAATGTCTGTGAGGTAAGAAAGTGTGAAGGGGAAATAGTCTTCCCCTCATATTTGCACACTGGTCCTTAGATTGCATTATATAAATCAACCCTACCAACTAAATGTGGAGTGTTCTGAAATATTGTATTTGCTTTGGATCAGTTCACAACCAGATTGCTTTTATTTTGTTTCATAAGAAGTTGAGATTGGAGATGTATGGACATGTTACTCTTTATGTTTGCATCTGCCACCCTGGCAGGAGAAAAATGGTTGCTTGGGTTTTGCGAACGTTCTCCAATTATTTTCCTAAAATGGTTTAGATGAAATACTGTTGGTTCATATAATTAGCTGAAATAATAAACTGGTGAGAGTTTGTTTTTGTTTCCTTTCAGAAGGAAAAATACTGCAATGAGCTCAACACCCTATATCGTAGCTTGGCATGAACTGTAATGCTGTGATGAGATCAGTTTGGGGTGGATCACAGGCTGCACCCAGCCACAGTGGTGGGCCTGGGTGGAGGAGTATGGCAGAGGCATCAGCATGGGCAGATGAGCACCATAAGCCGCCCCCACCGGCAGCTGAGAGAGACCCCTCTGTTGTGTAGCACTGGAGGAAATCCAAGTCCAGGATTGGGACCTGATGTGGTGGTTTCACCCTGATGAGCAGCTAAACGCCACCACAAGTGCTCCCTTACTCCTGCTCCTCAAAGGAGGGGCTGCAGTGCAGAGATCTGTTCTGCTGTGGTACCCACAGGCTGCAGCGTGGAGATCTGCTCCATGTGGGACCCATGGGCTGCAGGGGAACTTCTGCTCCATGCCTGGAGCAGCTCCTGCACTGACCTTGGGGTCTGCAGGGCTGGTTCTCACTCTTCTCCCTGGGGCAGAAATTCTTGGCATTTCTTCCTTCAGCCCTGGAAGCAATTTGGTGTAGTTATCTCTCTCCCGGGACAGAAGCAGCAGTGCACTGGGCATATTTGAGTCTATTCCTTGGGGCGTCTGCAGTCTCTGCATTGCAGCTTCCGCTGGTCCTGGGAAACCAGACACAGCAATTGCCCTGTGATGCACACAAACCTCTTCTGCTTCCATTGCCCATGTTAAGTGTAGGAAAGCAAGAAACAGCCTAAGTAGCAAATGCTGCAGACTAGTAAAATGATCTAATTTTGAGTCCACTTTGGAAAAGAAATGTGTGTTGTTTTTTTTTAAAACCCTTTGAATGTGACAGTGCCAATTTTTAACCCTGACCTCTACAACAACCCTGCCTTCCTTCCCAGCTCTCAGAACACGCTTTCTTGTGCAACATCTTCTGCTCCTCTATCCTGCAGGAGTTGTGTACACTTGGATAGTGGATCAATCACAATAATTGCTGTTGTCTTCAAGGTTTATTAATGCTTTTCAACTGAATTCCTGTTTTCCTGCTAATAATCCTACCAGTGGAACACTTTTGTGGACATGCAATTATTCATGTGGCAAACTTGCCACCCGAATACTGCTGGGTAATTAGTAAGCCTTGCATCCAACTAAAAGCAAGTCATTTTTAATTTCTGCAACAGACTTGAAGCTGGGATTATTTCACTGCAGGTCAGTTGCTCAAAGCAGCACTTAGGAAGGAGGAGCAGCTGTTGTCTGTGGAGGAAATGAGAGGGGCACAGGTGCTCCCTGTAGAGATTCATTTGGCCCCACAGTCCATATTATCAGGCTGGTCACTACACTCATATTTGCAGAGTTGCAATTGGAAGGAGCAGAGGTCTGAAACAGAGAGGATAAAGAGAGTCAGGGTGTTCTTTTTTTTTATAGCTACTTCTCTTGTTTAAGCAAAATTGCAGGTATTATTTTACTAGCTCTGCTGATAGTCACTATCTGTCCCCAGCAGTTCTCTCTAGTTTTTGGTAGATAGGCTGTGCTCAGGGCTAGATACATCAGCTGCACACAGCTCCAGTTCCCTGTGGTGGACATAGATATAGGACTGTATATGGGCTAAAAATAGTGCATGCTCTTCTGCATTGTAATCCTTTGTTACTTTAATGTATGTTATGTTTGGTGGCTGAAATAGTTGGTCAAGCTAGGAGACATCTCTCTGCTTCAAAATACTGCAACTTGGCAGCTCTATCTGTCCTTTACTAATTCATTTTGGTCAAAGTTAGGCTTTGAGAAGGTTGAAAATTAAAAGGATGAGCCTGATTGCTGTAAAGTACAGGTCTGACTTGTGTCTTTCTCTGTTTCCTTATGCTTTCTTTACCAGCCTGAGGCATGATAACAGAGCTATCCATGCAGGCAGTGTCAGTATTTTCATGCCAACGACAAAAATCTCCTGAACTATTTACTCTTGAGAAGCCAACACCTCTCCCAAATACAGCATTGCTGTGGTCGATGTATTCATCTTCCAGACACCTGAATATGGAAAGGAATGCAAAACGCACAGAAAAAGCAGAACCTGCCAGTCACCCCTCGGCGGCTGTTGACATCTGAAAGGATGGATGCAGAATTCAAGCGCAGCCATCTTCATCCAGTCACTCGTGTGCACAATTTAGAGGTAACTCCTCAAGAGGTGGGGTGCATGCTCTTCTCTGGGACATGTCTTAAATCTGTGCTTCACAGTGGAGTCAATGTACTACTCTTCTGCAGGGCAGAGCACAGTCATAGCCAGTGTTAACTTAACAAGAGGCTGGGGCAGGATGCATTGGAGGTGGGGGTCCTATGAACCCTACCAGGGCTCCTCAGCAGCAATGGGGCACCTTCAGCCAATGCAGTGGTTATCTATGGGGAGCCAGGTGCTCCTGGTGCTACAGTGCATCCCTGACTGTTGCTTTCGCAGGAGCTGCATGCTGGACATGACCTGGCCCTACACAGGGACTTAGGGCTTGGTGGCTCTGGCTCTCCACAAGAAGGGCTGATGCTGAGCAGGGTATGCGCTGGTGGCAAGGGGCTGCTAGCAATGCTTCTCACCTGTCTGTCCCCAGCTTGTCACACAAAAGTCTTGCAGGCCCCCTGTGACCCTACTAGCACGCTCTTCCCCACCTGTCTCCTTCAGGGTGAGCAATGCATTGCCCTGCACACACTGTCATGGTCCTGACCCATGCCACAGCCAGCAGCAAGCACCCATCAATACACTGGAGTCATTTTAGACTGCTTATATTCATTTGTTTCATTATGCTGTTACGGCTCTCATCAGACACAGTGCTAATTAACTCAATCCCATCCTACCAAGTCCTGGCTTCCACATCATCTCCAGGGTTTCTAGTCCAGGGAGCTGTAACAGATCATTTATCCCAGGGGGCTTAAATGGATGCTTTTCCATGGTGGAGCTTTAGGCAGAGAGACTCATGATTGCAGGGGTGTGTTCGAGTCTAATTCTGTGCGTAGCATCAAAATTTGTATAGATTTTAAATAATTCATCATTGGGCTTCAGTATATTTAGTCACTCAAATTAGGAATCAGGAATTTTGCTCTGCGGAGAGCTAGTGTGTGTGTCATTGTCAGAGGTTAGCTCTGCTGCCTGTCTCCATGCAGAAGAGTTCAGAGAAATTAAGTCAGGGGAAGTGACTGGCAGTAGAAGATGCAGGAAAATGTGTGACACGCAATGCTGTGAAGCTTCTGCAGCAGTGCAACGGGCGATACTGGTATATGGTCTAGTAGTATGTGTGTTGCTGAGGTACTGGGAGACCATAAGCATGGTTTAGGTGAGGTCTTTGGGCTTCAACCCAGGAGCTGCCAGCCTATGGGGACTGTCCCAATCTGTTGCCCCTTGTCTTGTTTGTGGATGGCAAACCATGGGGGCAGAGAGATGCTCTTGTGCTTTTCTGTGTTCTGTCTGTGACTGTAAAACAGGCAGCACGGATGCTCGTACCCATTAGCAGACGTGGCAGCTGCAGTGGGCTCTCAGTCACAGCTGGTAGAGACCCGAAGTTTGGCAGATTCCCAAACCCACTGCAGCAGTGCTGACTTTCATTGCAAAGGAATGGTTTAGAAATACAGACCCACAGCTTCATTTAGTAGCTGTGTGTTTTCAGGAGTTGTCTCTCCCCCTTTCTCGACCTAAAGGAAATACTTGATAAAGTGCTCCAGCACCGGTGAATTGGGAAGGGTCTGTGCACAGCATCTCCCAGATGATGAGATCTGCCTAATGTGCCAGAAGCTATCCCAGCTGTGAAGTGTGCTGGAGACTCTTGTCCAAGTGATAGTCTATTGATGGGAAACGCTGCTGTTCAGGAGGGGGTTGATTCTGCAAGGCCTCAACACCTATCCACCTCAACAGGAGCAGAAAGCTCTCAGCACCTCTCCTAGGATTGCAGCTCACTGCGCAGGGTTGAAGCCCTTTGTCTCCCTCTTGTTTTTATGCATTACAGTCACATTATAAAGAAGTCCTGCAGAACATTCAATTACTTACTGCACAATTATAATCATATTTGTATACCTATAAGTAGGTCACCAGTCTCTTAGGTTAATCAATTATAATGGCATTCACACCGGTATCTTTCATAAATCACTGGCTTTTAGTGTATCCACTGAGATAATGGAGGAAAACCATCTAATTTTGATCTAACTAGAATGAAATGTGAACGTGCATAATTTGCTCTTACAAAGTGTATCTAATGTTCTCTACATCTGTATTTATTTGTGCTGTTTCATGCTGCATATCGCTTAAGTGGCAAAAAAAATACAGAGACTGTTGCACTTAAAGCTAAATGACCCAGAGTAATACAATTTATCTGCATTTATTTTACATTGTTCATCATGACAGATATTTTAATAACCCACTTCTGATGGCTGATGCACTGATTACAAATCACACTGAAATCTGAGGCAAGCTTGTTTGGTGTGATGCAAAGACATTTGGCAGAGCTGTTTCGCCATGTAAACTAAGCAGTTAAATGGGTAGGGAGGACTTTACTCAGGCTGGAGGCTGTGAATGCTTTAGGACATGCTGGGATGCCACCACATAGCGAGCATCTGCTGAGCCCCGGACGCTGTAGCTACTTTAATGTCTACCCAAGCTGCAGCTTTCAGACAGCTCAGTGAATGGGAAAATCATAACTGAGTGGTCTCTATTTTATGGCTGCCTCACTTGGATGCCTCAGAGCTGCTGTCATAGAAGATGTGGGAGGTCCCTGTGCCACGTTTGGTGGTGGCCTTGGATAGTTCTTGCTTGGCTGCCTGTAAGGGAGTGGGTTTTGTGCTGTGAAGCACAGAGCAAGATCTAGACCTGTACTGACATATCTATCTGATCCCAGTTTAACTGGAGAGGAGGGCTGTGGACATGTTCAGGGGCTTAGATGGCTGGCCTGCAAGGGTCTGGCTGATGGGCTGGGCTCGATTAGACAGGTGAAGGGGTGAGTTAGTAGCAGCCTACAGCTACCTACGGGGAAGACGCAGAAAAAATGGAGCTGGACTCTTCTTGGTAATGGTAAATGATGTTATAAGGGGCAACAGCAGCTCAGGAGGCTCAGTCTGGGTGTTAGGAAAGGCTTTTTTCCCTTTGATAGAGGTGTATCCTTGGTTATCTGCTGAGGTTGTGGCATCTGCATCTTGGGAGGTTTTCACACCCTGGCAAGACAAAGCTGCGGCCAAGCTCATTTAGTGCTGGCTGTAGCCCTGCTTGGGGGTGTGGAGGGGTGGATTAGAGGCTCTGGAGGTCCCTCCCCACCAGCAGTGCTGTGATCCCATGCTTCAGTGGCCCTGAAAGCGTATTCAAGAAGGGTGGTACAATGGGGTGTGAACCTTTTGCTTCATAACAAATGCATGTTGTGTATTGACTGTCAAGAATGTACAGACAGATCCATCAGCACCTTACTGAGAGGCGACCTATAGAGGCAATGCTGGCAGGAAGGTGGTGGGTTTGGTGTCAGCTGAGACCATTCCCTTCCACAAGCATGGTGGTACACTCATTGCAAAAAAAAAAGGCATTTACCAGAAAGTGCAAACAAACTCTCCACGTCTGAGTGATGCGTTGGCTCAGACCTCTTGCCTACATGCAAGCCACTGCTCTCCATCCAGCCTCTCTTGGAGCAAGTGTAACACAAACCAGATTTAGCTTTCTGTCTGCATGAACGTCTGCCTAAGCATCCCTTTGGCTGCCAGCCTGGAAAATGCCAGTGTTGGAGAGGTGGCAATGCAGGGACCGCATCCTGAACAAAACCAGTGTGCAAATCAAACAGGGAGGGCTGCTGGGACTCACCTTGTGCAGAGTTACTGAGTACTCTGGAAATGAGTTATTGGTTAAGAAAGTGATCCTGCTTCAGCACTATCTGTTTGGAACTGTGGAGCAATAGCGTGCCTATTTCCAAACAAGATCTGAATGAGCAGGTGAGCACCCAAGCTCTGCTTGGTGAGATGGGAGCTCCTTGGATCTTGCCCAGCTTCCAACAATGCTGCAAGCTTTCTCTGGGCATGCTGTGCCTTACAGCTTGCTTCCATGCTGTGAGCATATCCCTGCAATCTCAAATGCAGCTGAGCATCCCTGCACAGGTGGCTGCTGCACAGGAGACCCTGCTGAAAATGTGCAAGGTGTGAACCAGCTGGTGTTGTACTGTTCATCCCAAACAATCTCCTGAAGGGGAGCTGGGTGGAAACTGCTCTTTTTCATTTTTCTTTTTCTTTTTCTTTTTTTTTTCCTTTTTTTTTTTTTTTTTTAACATTCATTGCAACCTTCTGCTAAAAATACTCATATTTTCAGAAGCAGCTGCTACCTGAGAAATGAACAAATAGCACTTTCACATACTCTTGTAAGGTTTTATGTATGTTTTTGTAGAAAACCAAGAATGTTTATGCTTGAATTAGTTTGTTTTCATGATGGGGAGGGGGATGGGGGGAGAATGGCACTTCTTATCCAAGGGATTCTTGCTGTGTGGAAATGTTCTTGACAAAAAGCTACTTTTTTTTTTTTTTTTTTTTTTTCTGTAAATTGTTTACTGACAAAAAGTTCTCCAGCTAGTGTGTCTTGGCCAACTGGAAGGCTGGACTCATTACTAGCATTTCTCTTCACTGTGTTTTGGTAGCCACAAGAGCCCTTAGCTCATCTGTTGGCCCTGTTGGTCTCAGACGTTGTGCAGGTTCCTGTGCAGATCTGGTGGCTGTGTCCAGGGATGGTGACACCATGCAGGGTGAAAAGGCTAGGGGTGGCACTCTGCTTTCAACAAGCATCGCTTGTGCCCCACCTGCACAGTGTGGGCTATGGGAAAGATGTCAGCCCAGCACTCTGTGTCGGCTCTGCTGCTGTGTGGCTCCACTCTGGAGGAGCGTTTGTGAAGATTTACATGTGTCGGGCTCCAATTTTAGGAGGGAAATCTGTCAGTAGATCATAAATGTTCCAAGTGATTTATGCTAACCGTTTTGGGTGCCTTAGTCCCAGGAGTAGATAAATTGTGGTTTAATGTTTTATTTACACTTTCAGGGAATTTAGTGTCTTTGGAATGCACCAGATCGTTAGCCCTAGAGGGAAATTCTCTCCCAGTGGGATGACAGCCCATGGGAAGGGCTCTTGCCATGCCCTGGGCAGCTCCTGACACCGTCTCCATGCAGGGCACTGCTGCAAGTGTAGGAAGGCATTTTATTTTTGAAATTGTTTTATATCTGAGTAGAGATCATTAATCTGTTAATATTTCTATGGGAGTTTGAAAGTCCTACATGTCTGAAATGACAGCAGATGGCACAATAGAGGGTTTAGCTGAGTTTTAGGTATGCAGAAGAGTTTAATTAATTAACAGTAATCTCTTTAAAATGTATGGCAGAGTAATACCAGTCTCGTCTATAGAAAGATTCTTGAGGACTTAATAAAGCTCTGGGAGTAATTAATTATACAATAACCCGTGGTTAAGAAGATATTATCATCCAATCAGTGGGCAGAGTTTGTGTTTGTCATTTACCAAAGAGGATCATTAGTGTTTGCTACAGACTCAGTCTACAGTGGTGCATGCGAGGGGTGCCCTCAGCCCCCAAAATACCCAGGTTGTAATGGGTGCAATCACCTATGCTTTGCTAAGGGAAAACTGTTCTGGTGTAAAGCACGCAGGGTCAGAGCAGGTACAGTTGCCTGGGAAAATGAAGTATTTCGTTGAAAACAGATAGTTAGCTTATTGCCTTACAAGCACCTATCTAAGCTCCGTTCAATTAATGAAACACAATTTGAAGTAAAAAGGATTGGTACCAACCAAACTACTGCACTATAAGCTCTCTTCTGATTATGCTATAAGATAATGTCTACCAGATTAAAATTTTAATTAGCTTAATTTAGGAATAGAAAAAGCATTAGACTTACAGTTCTGAAACACATAAATGATATCAAGGGGGAGGGGAAAGAAGTGAAAGTCAGTTAAGCTTTGTGCATGGCCTCGTGCCTCATGTTTTCTGTAAGACCTCAGCAAATCCCAGCAGGTTTGGGCTGCTGGGTATGGCTGCATGAGGCTGCCTGGGCTTTAAGGGGGTTGGTGCAGACGTCTGGGCACGGGGGTGCTTTAGTTTTCTCCGGTACTTATTTGTAACCCCAGCTGCCTGCAGTCCCTCTGGCTCTGCGTTCAGAAGGGAGAAACATGCTGGCTATAATAGAGACTTTTGTTCTTTTTTTGTTTTTCTTTTTCCTTTTCCTCTATTCATAGATTTAAAGGCCAAAACAGACCATTAAGTCCAACTAATCCTACATCCTGCATGACAAAGGCCATCCCGCCCATCCCCTAATTCCTCAATACCCGGGCTGACCATGACCGTGTGATTAAATACAGTTAGGAAAATGCACCGCGAGAGCCTCTGTGTGCTCCAGACATGGAGCAGGACCCCACTGAAAACACCCAGTCTTGATTTAAAGACTTTAAGTGGCAGATGATTTATTCCATCCCTCGTGAAACCATTCCAATGCTTAATTACACTTACAGTAAAATAAGTCATTTGGGCGGAAAGCATGGGGAGCTGTAACATGCAAAGTGCACGGTATATAGTTGTGTTTGGTTATGAGGTAAGGAATCCAACAAATCTCTTTTATGTCTTTTCAGGGAAGAAACAAAGGCATTTGAACCATTTGCACAACATAGAAGCTCTCCACCGCAAGTTTTTAAAGGGCTGGAGGCTTGCTGGGGAAGCTTTGAGGAGAGGGAGTAATAAAGAAAAGAGGGTTTTATGATGCAAGGTCGAATGGGAAACTTTTATTGGAGGGGCTTGGCCAGCTCCTCATCCCATGGGGGAAAGGAGGAGGAATTTGAACGTGGTGTTTTTGCTTTTGGAAGGTCAAAGCCATTTCATGCAACTGCAAAGCAGCATAAGAGAAATATGCGTATTCCTCTGTCATGTCTGTCAAAAATGGAGGAGGGGAGGAAGTCCCAAACACTACATTTCAACAAAGCCCTGAAGGTAAAAATGATCTGCTGGCTTGAAATTTATCTTAATGAGCAAAATCCAGCCAATGGAACAGGGTGCAGATGAAAGTGACAGATGGGATCATTTAAAGTTTGATTCTTTGCATGAAAGAAAATACTATTTTCAATAAGTTATTTTTCTTCTGTTTGTTACGGTGTTCTGTTTAGTGTCCCAGCCTCCAATTGGCAGTCCCAGCTCTTTGGCAGATTAATTTATCCAGGGTCATATCCTCAACTTTTGAAAATTCAGAGTTTGAGGGAGCTCCTGGAACTCCTCAGCTCACGTAAGCGCGTGGAGCTGATCCAACAGTCAGCGGCAAGTCTCCTCAGCCAAGAGATTTTTGCTAGATACGGACTGAGACCCCGATTCTGAAGCTGTCCAAGATCAGTCTGCTAAGAATATGAACAGTCATCAATCAGGTAGTCTGGAAGAGTATACAGAAGTGTATCAATTTGTTCGCAAGTATTTTCAGACACAAACAACTACAAGAATTTACCACTGCTATATAAAAATATAGTCTGGGACCTAGTCAGGTTCATAAAAGTTCCGTGAAGCTGGAGGATGCATTTCCTTGTAGGAGATGTGTTGAATTTTGATGCTGAGAGGTGCTGTCATACACCCCTTAGTGCACAGCATCATACATGTCACTTATCCTTAACAGGGGAAGATAGGCAGGAGAAGGAATGGAATCAGTCCTATGCAATAAAATAATTGCTGTCTTCACCATTTCCTTGCACAGGTAATTCATGTTACTGTAATGTACTATAATGCAGCATCTGTGTACAGCATGGTGCATACGCAACATCAGCAGACCCTGCCACCAACAGCTGAGCAGGAGCAAAAGCATTAACCCTCTCTCCTCTGTCCAGTTATTTCCCGATTAGATCAATTAGCAGTTAACAAAGGCCCAAGACAAGGAAGAGGTCATCTGTTAGCTCCTTATATTTAAGCCTTCTTGGGTGAGATTTTACAAACCACATGGCAAGTGCTCGGTTGTGCAACCCCCCAGCCTGGAGGACAAATTGCTCAGGTTGGCACCAGGGGGAAGAGGGAAAGCTAGAGCTGTGGTGGGGCTGCTGCTGGTTCCCAGCCACCCCTTCTGGGGGCCTGCAGCATCCCAAACCTACCTCAAAATGCTGAGCAGGAGGCTCAGACAGAGAAGGAGGCAGTCTGCACTGCTCACTGGCCAGAGGGGTGACTGCAGCACAGAGTAGGTACCATCTGTAGCAGCTCCTCAAAATACAACTCTTGTTCAGGGCAAGAATGGACCTGGACAGGGGTTGCTAACTGCACGTGCCCTCCCTGCCATGCTGCTCAGTCAGCTAGGAAGAGAAGAAAGTCATTGCAAGGAATTTCTTCAGCTGTATTCCAACAGCAGATTAAAATAGCTGCTACTATTTTAATCTGGAGAAGTGGCAGCTACCGCACATGCAGGACTGGCAGCAAGCATGTCTCCCACAAAGCCTGGATTCAAAGAGTGTCTTGTGCCTCTGGAAATGCAACCACAGGCTGTAGCCAGAAGACCAGCCCTGGTAAAACATAGCCCTGGGACAATCTGACCCAACTGGCTAGAATCTGGGATCAGGAGGAATAAATTCAAGCTTCCTGTTTTTTTTTTTTTTTTCTTTATTTTTTCCTTTTAGTTATTGCAAAGTGTTGTAATACTGTGAACCCTAAACATTCTCAGGAAGCAACAAGACAGTGTTGTGCTCAATGTTCTGTATTTGCGTACAGCCCAGCTGGAGTTTGTCTGCTGAAATCTGTGCGGTAACATCCAGATTTTAAATATTGATTTTTATTTTATTCCAGAAGTTTCATTGTAATATGGCATGGATATTCTGTTTCCTTGTGGATTTGTGATGGCAGAGGAGGAAGACAGAGAGAAAGGTGACTTTTTTTTAGGAATACTTTTACATATCCGGAAAATGAAAGTCTTGCCTTGTCCCTCATTTTTATTTAGGGGGGAATGTTTGCTGTACACACTCTTGCAACTTGCAAAACTAGCTTTGAAATAAAAGAAAGAAAATTTATCTTCACATCTTCATAAATTGTAAATTATTTATTTGTTATCCCTGGTAAATCTGCTTTTGCAAAACCTCACTGTGAAAGGAGCATTTCTTTGTTTCACTGGACTATGAGATCGCTCCCTGAAGATGCGTCAGTGCTGCTGCTTGGAAGGCTCCATGTAGGAAGCTGGTCCCAAAGCTTTTTTTTTTTTTTTTTTTTTTTTTTTTAATTTGATTATGCTCAGGATTCTTTTTACTTTGCATTCATTTATTTTTTTTTTTCATTCATTTTGCAAATTAGGTAACTGCAAGAACCCATCTGTGGAAATTTAAGACCTTCCTGTGATTTTTTGCTTCTGCATGTGATTCCCTCTCACGCAAGTTAATCCCCCAAGACTGTGTTGCCTGAATGCAGCATCAGTTTCAACAAGCAAATATTTATCCTGCATCCTAGGTGCAATCTGTACACAGAATGACTCCAAATTAAGTTAAATCGATATTAACTACTCTTAGATTGAAGAGTGTCCAGGCAAAAGGGTGGTACTGCTTTAACTAACGGTTTCAAAGCCAATGTAATTAATTGGTATATTTTTCACTGTGAAGGACAGATTTCATATACTGTTCAGATTTCTTGAATGCCTTTGGACTAAATCCCACTGTATTTACTCCACACAGGACTGTCTATTGAAATAACATTCGGTAATATTGTCCCTTTTCCCACTGCTCCTTTCAGAGCCACACAAAATGATTTCCCTCTTGGTTTTAGAAAGATGCAACAAATAATGTGAGTGCTTTTATAGCTTTTCTCTCCAGTGTGAAACTGCTGCTGAAGACCACTCTATGTTATCTGAGTTAGACTCTTAGCTATCTCAACTGGGCAAATGCTGCAGGTTTTGATCTGAAGTAGGTCAGAGCCACCAGGTTTGTATTATACACCAGGTGGTGGGGACCTCATGGTTTGTGTGTGCAATTTTCAGTCCATCCTCTTGCAGCCCTGTGCCCGCACACAAGTCCATGCTGAGAATGAATGAAGGGACGGGGGGATATTTGAAAGGAGGAGTGTTTGGCAAAACTGCTATTGCAGAGCAGCCCCTATATGTTATGGGAGAGGGCACAAAATGTTGCTTGGGCCATATGGTCTGCAGCCCTGTGCTTTGCTGGCTCACACCCTTTCTAATGCCTGCTAATCTGCTCATAAGCACCTCTGAAGAGGGTGCTTCACACAACTCTACCAGTAATCTCTTTCAATGCCTGGTTGCTCTTTGGCTCTGATGCCAGATGGAATTAATATACCCATCACTGTAATTATTCAGACAAGTAAACAGTGGCAGGAGTAGTAGTGCAGCCGTCCCAACTTCTCACTTTTCCCACTGATTCAGAGGCATACTTGAAAGAATCCTTTCATCCCCATGGATCCCGTTCCCTGGAGTTGTCCCAGGCTGTCCTCATCAAAAGGGAACTAGATGTTTCAGCAGTTTCTCAGCCAATTTCATGCTGGGATAAGAATCAGTGGTGATGAGGTGGTATGATTATTTCAGCGTCTGACTGCTGCCCGGAAGCTTGGTACATGTCCAGCCCCTCATCAGGTCCTCCTATGAAATCTTTCACAGGACTAAGTCCTGTGTGTAAAATGGAAAATCTGTTTATACCTCAAAACTTGAAAGGCAGCCTGCCTTTTGGCCTGCTCCAATTGATGGTTTGTGGAAATGAGCAGCCTAGATGGATGGTTTCTGAGGCCATGTGTTGGGAAAAAGATACGTCTAAAAGCTTCATGCATGCAGCAAATACTATGCATGTACCTCCTACCAAGCCCATTGTCCCAAGCGTGATTTCTACAAAGTTTATTTAATTATTAATTAATAAAAATAAAATATAAATTACATTTTTAAAAATAATTAATTTAAGGCTGTCCAGTTCCCCATATATCCAAAGAGCTTAGAGCAATGTTTGTATTTATGAAGGTAAGATCTATAGGGAGAGGTAACTGCTAGATGAGTTCAATAGCTGGAAAAAAAAAAGATGTGCTTTTGGACACTCCAAGCTCTCCTAGATGCATTGTGTGATCCAGAGTGAGACGTTACGCTCTCATCGAGTGTGCTTGGTTTTAGGAATAAGCAGTGGTGATGCCATAGTGACAAGAAGAGAGGCTTTGAGGGCTTTGATGCCCATGTTACAAAGAATATGCAAACTTGTATTATTCCTTTGATTAGCTGCTCTCTGATATGTCAAGTCCATGAATAATCAAGCCTCATTTTCTAATTAGTTTTACTCATCACCCTGCTGCTCCGTGCCTTTACTCATTTGCATACCTTTTTTCTAGATAAGGGCCTTATTCTGTGAGGCACTGGCAAAGCTTCTATCCGGCTCCCATGATTGCATTTCTTTGGTTCTTTGCTGGGCATTTCCTTGCTCTCAGCTCTGCTTCTCCTCCCATGTGATGCTAGGGCCCTGCCTGCAGAAGATCTCATTGCTCTGTGCTTTTCTACTCTTTCTAAACCTTGTTTCCCCAGGAAACAGGATGGTGTGTTCAGGCTGCCTAGCTGACCCCACTGACATCTTTTGACCCTGATACCCAATTTCACCCAGCCTTGACAGCCAAGAAAATCTACCTGTTTCTACAAATCTTGTGGAAGCAGGACGGGGACAGCTCCTTCTGCATTAGTGGAGGACAAAGCTGGAGCATGTTCTTCATCGCTTTGAGGACCCACTGTGGAAAGAGAGGTTTTAACGCGCTCACCACAAACACATTTAGCCATCAGCTGAGAGAGACCATTCCACGAGAGAAAGCAGTAGCCATTGGGCTGGTGGCAGGTGGGTTTGTGACTGGAATACATATGCTACTTTCATAACATGGGAGGCAGCTGCGGGTTCCCCAGCAGGGTGTCCCCAACCCAGTCCTGTCCCTCTGCCTGCAGGGCTCACAGCTGCCTGCGGGCCCTGCCCGGGCCTCTGCAGTGCAGCTGATGCTGGGGGACGGGAAACCATGATCCTTCCTATGACCTAGAGGTGTTAATGCCTAATAAAGCTCTGGTTTGCACGCTGGGAGCCTGCTTACCACAGAGCTGATGGGTCTTTTCTCTTTGCTAGGGTTAAGCAGTCACCATTTGTCAACCAAAAGCGGAAGTGAAATTCAGATGCTGTGAAGGTCTTTAAAAAAGCGACAGGAATGTGATAATCTGTCCCACGTGAAAAGCTAACAAGAGTTTCCAAAAGCTGCAAACATCAGTCTTGGGCTTGAGGCACAAGGCTTTGTGCTCATCTATCTGGGCAAATACCTGGTGCCTCTACATACAAGCCACTGCCTTTCAAAAAGTTTCTGCAGGTAAACAGGGGTCAGCTCAAGATGAGATCCTGCACCAGCTCGGCTTGACCCTGCTTTCATATCGGCTTTGTTCCTTTAACTCCTTTTTTAAAGCAGCTCCTTGCTTTGTACCAGCAGAAGCATGCCCCTGCCTGACCAGGGAGTGCATTATCCATGGGGGACCGCAGACTTTTATCTCATTCGGGGTGAATTTCACTTCTGTAGTGCCTAAGCTAATGTTTTGTGTCCCTGGATCAAAGCTAGGGAGCATCATTTGCATACCGTGGGTGAGGAGGCAGCAGACTGGAGACCATCACTCATCAGTGAAAGGATGATCATTGTTTGTTTAGCCCATTCCAGAATAATGGCTCTGCTGGGAACACCAACCCAGTATGCATCATATCTTTTATAGTATATATTAATTTAGTGTAGACATTAGGCCATCATTATTCCCTCCTTTTAATTCTCATGTATTAGCATTCAGGAGCAGTTTTAACCCAGCACACATCTTTGTTATTTTGTAATGTAAAATAAATAAAGCTGGAGGCAAATGTATTTTTTTTTAAATAAATGACTGTGAGAGGCTGATGGATATAAAGCACAGAAACATCTTTATAATTTTAAAGCTCGAATTTCAGAACACAGCATTTTCATTAAATGGTGCAATCCATTCATTTTGGAGAGACAGATATAAACAGAAGCAAATTAACTCAGTAGTTCTCATGCCTAGAATCTTTGTGATAAAATTGCCTATTATTGTGAGTGTAAATGTTTTCAAAAACAGTTGAGACAACGGGAAAAAAAAAATAGGAAAGCCAGGATAGGTTGCTCAAGGATAAAAACCATAAAGACATCCCCTCCAAACACATGTAGCTGCTGAAATTACTGAAAGTGGACTGCGGGAGCCCTTTGAGAGGAGGAGAAAGGAGGCAGGCCATTTATTTATTATTGTTATTTTTTTCTTTTTATGATGGATGAAGGTCTGGGAGAGTGGCATCCCATTATTCTCCGTGCTGGCTGCTGCCGTGAGTTAGGAAATTCAGCTGATAGGGACGGAGGCGGCTGAAGCAACAGGAGAGGGGGAGCTGGGCACAAGCTGGCGGGGCCCGGGGCAGCGCTGGGGTCCCACGGGGGGGGGGGGTGGGAACCGCGCTGCGCGGCGGCGCTGCCCGAGCCCCGGTGCGGCGGCGGCGGCGGCAGCGGCACCGCGTGGCCGGGCCCGGGGCGGAGCCGAGCCCGGGGCGGAGCCGTGCCGGGAGTAGGGGGGGGGTCGGAGGCAGCGCGAGGAGTGCCGGGAAGGGCCGGTGGTGGCGGAGGAGGAGGAGGAGGAGGCGGAGGGGCGATGGCGGCGGAGCGCGGCCGGGGCTGCCCCCCGCGGTGGCGGCGGCTGTGAGCGAGCGGCAGCGGCGATGTGCGGCGCGTCCGGCGACGATGGAGGACCGGTCGCACAAGGTGCTGCTGGCGCTGGTGATGCTCTTCCTGTTCGCGGTGATCGTGCTGCAGTACGTGTGCCCCGGCACCGAGTGCCAGCTGCTGCGGCTCCGGGCGCTCAGCCCCGCCGCCGCCGCCGACCCGTACCGGGCGGAGGACGAGACGCCGGCTCGCTTCGTGCCGCGCTTCAATTTCTCCGCCGGCGACCTGCTGCGAAGGGTGGACTTCAACATCAAAGGGGACGACCTGATCGTCTTCCTGCACATCCAGAAGACCGGCGGCACCACCTTCGGCCGCCACCTGGTCCGCAACATCCAGCTGGAGCAGCCCTGCGAGTGCCGCGCCGGGCAGAAGAAGTGCACCTGCCACCGGCCCGGTAAGCGGGAGACCTGGCTCTTCTCCCGCTTCTCCACCGGCTGGAGCTGCGGGCTGCACGCCGACTGGACCGAGCTCACCAACTGCGTGCCCTCCGTGGTGGACAGCAAGAAGGAGGTGCGGCTCCGGCCCTCCAGGTGAGCCGAGCCCACCCCCCCCAGGGGGGGCGAACAAAGCCTGCCGCCGTCCTAAAGGGCTCTGCGGGCTGCCGGTGGCCGGCCGGAGCTGCGAGCACCTCGCACGGTGCTGCCCGGCCCCGTCCCGGCTGTCCCGGGGCTCCCCGAGTCCTTTGAGCAGCCCCCCCCTGCACGCCTCGGGCAGCAGCCGGGGGCCCTGGGCTGCCCCGGGGCTTTTCAGCCTCAGTGTGCAGGGAGAAATGCGGGTGTTAGGAGGAACAGGGAGCCGCTGGGTGCTGTTAGGGCTGAAGTTTAGGTTGTGCGGGTGTCAGCCTTGTGAATTAAAGGTTATGCTTAGGACTGAATACCACCCGCGAACACTGCCGTTGTCCTCCAGCCCTAACCTCGGTTATTTCGGGCTTGCCTTTCTGGATATTAGTGGCACTGCTTTTCTTCATCTTTGCGCTTCCCGTAGAAGTTGCTGACCTAACCTGACCGTAGCTGTCTGCTTGCCTAAAGGCAGCCCCTGCGTTCCCAGAGCCCAGCCGGCTGGTTCTGCGAGCAGCGAGGAGCTCCTGCCCGTGCTCCCGGAGCGCTGCGGTGACAGCACACCTGGGGCTGGAGCACACCTCGGAGCTTGTCCACGGCTCTGCGTGCAGCTGCACCCTGCAGCAGGACAGCTCGGGGTTTCAGCGTCTTTTCACATTGCTTTGCTGGGAAATTAGAAACGAGGGTATCGCGCCTCTCGCGCTGTTAGATTAATGGCAGGTCCCCTTACAATGAGGGTACTGTTATATATCATGCTGTCTGAAGTCAAGTCTAAGCACAGATTCAGTTGAAATAGAGTGCGATTTCTTTATAGAATTCCTTTTATATAGCGTGACACCACACTGCCATCTAGTAGAAAAATGGTTAGCGTCATTATCTTCCTGTAGCCTAGATGAAACTCTTCATGAGGCTTAGCTATTGTGATTCTCGCTCTTTTGTTTTCCCTACTGCTTTAAAATTTAATTGTCTCGTTTTTGTGGCACTCCATTTGCAAACATCAGGAACTAATTCTTTGCCCTCTGGGCACATTATCTTCCCGGCTTCCCAGGCTGCGTAGTTTATTTTACCTGTCTTGTAAATGCATTGTTTGCCAGCAGAAACGGAAACGCGTAGCGTGACGTCTCTTTTGCTAAACATCTTCAAGTGATCTTTCTTTCTCTCCCCCTAGAGATGGGCCTGATCTGCAGAATTGTAGCTGTGGGGCACAGATTCCTTTTGCTCCCCGGAGGCGCAGGGTCCCCTCTGTGCTCAGGGTTAGTTTTGCCCTCTGGAAAAATGGGAGAGTCCTTGTCCTGGGCCAGCCACCTTCGGCAGAAGGAAATGCCAGGCTTGGAGAGCTGAGTTTTTGTCTGTGGCTTTTGGCTGATTTCCCCCTCACCCCTTTTGGATTACCAAACGTGCTTTTCTGAGTCAAAACAGAACTGATGCATGTACCTTCCCAGGAGCTCGCAGCGATGGTTCCTCGTCCAGCAATGCCGTGTGTGTCATCACTACCGACTTAGAGAGGTCATGAGGCCTCATGGCTTGAGATGGAAGCTGCAAAGGATGAAAAAGAAGCTGTGATGGTTTTGTGTTAGGTATAGGTCTACTCTATAAAAGCCTACTTTGAAATCGTGTTGCATTTTTAATAACCTAATTACACAGGTTGCTTAGTAGCTACAGTTGTTCTCCCAAATAATGTTTTGACAAGCGATTATTTGGCCTGCAACTTCTAAATGTTTAAAAATACAGCAGGAGACGTTCTGAAACGAACAATAGTCCCTTCAAGTCTTCCTACACATTGTAACGTCTCGTGCTTAATTTTATTTTGCATTCTCAATTTAGCAACATTCAGTTGACAACTAGTTAAGTAGCACCTATTCCTAGTGCCAGTAACAGACGGCCATCTAAGCACTTTCTGGGCAGATAATGACTTCTTTCAGAGTAGTGGTAGGTGTGGGATGAGGGTGTCTGGGCAGAGGAGCCGTGCTGGCTGGCTGGGGCTCTGAGCAGGGCCAGCCTGGCTGTTCCTGTGCTGTGGTCATTGGGGGAGGCCTGAATGGTACTGGCAGGGAGGGAAGGGAAAAATCCCTCTCTGCTTGAATCCTGAGTGAAGGAAGAGGAGGAAGGAGGGGTGCAAGGCCTGGTCCATTGTCAGGGCAGGGAACAGAGTTCAGTCAGAAGCAGAGGACCACAGCTTCCTCACATGAAGCTTGGCTAGGCAAGGATGGGAATTCCTATGTTTATAGTCAAGGTGATTAAAAAATAGGCACCTGCTCTAAGGGTGCTTTGAATGACTTGGTTGCCTGATAATGCAGTCTGTAGTTAGCACATTTGGGCTGCCTAGCCTTGTTTGGGAATAGCCAAGTGAGAGGTGATTGTTCCAGCAAACTTCTTAGCTTGTGTCTCTGCGTGATTACTTTGCGTGGAGGTTTGTGTTGAGGAGCATGGGGAATCTATTTGTCTCGAGGCTGGTTAGATTGGTGATTAGCTGGACCATTCCCTAAGAGCCTCTGCATTTGTTTAAAAGTTGAGACTTTGTTTAGGAAGTCCAGAAGATGCCCAGTCTGGGATCTCTGAGGCTCAGCACCAGGTACCCGAGCATCACCGTGATATGATGTGATGGGATCAGCCTTGGGGCTGTGCCTGTGAGGAATCTAGTTGCCTGGGGCATTCCTTCTTCAGCCTCTGCTCTTAAGCTCATCAGTAGTCTGCTTGTGTTTTCTTTAGGAACTGCAGGGTTGAAGGGTACATTGCTGCTCGGGGGTAGAAGTACTCAGGGTGGCTGTTTGTGGTATTTTTTTTCTTCTGGATTTAACACAATGGTACTTTCCTGTCGCTAAGAATGTCGATTCTCCAGATTTGCTTTTCTTTTTAGTGGTGCCTGCGCTGCTTAATATGAAGTAGATAAACAGAGCTCCCTTTTTTTCCTTCAGGCCTTCCTTGCTGTAGCAGAACGTAAGTCTGTGTGTGTGGGGAGAGGGATTTTTTTTTTTTCCCCTCCCCTATCCCATCAGGGTGCATATTTTGTCTGCCTCCTTCCTGCTTGTTGCCTGTTCCATCGGTGCTGAGGGCTGTTCACCTCTTCCTCGTCCTCCTGGCTGCCTCTCCCTGCAGCTGGCTTTGCCTCTAGCTGATGGGGATGGGAACGGAGCAGCAGCACTGCAGCCTCTGGAAATCTTGGGAAGGGGGAAGGTACAGGCGGGGCTGATGCTTTGGGCTCTCTGAATTTGCTGCCTGGGAGGTTGGTGGAGTGGGCTGATGGTGGTGGCAGAAAGGAGCGGGTTGTCTCAGCCGCTTGGCATCAGTGGTGAGAAAGGAGAAATGTGCCTTTTCCTAGTCAGGAGTGACTGACTTGGGTCACTTGATTGATTGTGGAAGCCTCAAAGCTTTTGGCACGCCAAGCTGAAGCAGCATCCAAAGTAACTGTGCGTGAGAGCATCACACAACAGATTTCACTCAGCTCTGGCTAATTATTATGGGAGGTATCTACCAAACTTGTCTAAAGCAATAAATCCAATGGCACCGTTGTAAGAAACAAAAGGGCTTGGGGTTAGGCTGGCAAATGTAACAAGACATAGGGGCAAATACCGATACCTGCACTCTTAAGTGGTGTCGTGGCTTCATACCCTCATTGGGTGAGAGATGTGGCTATGGGCGAAGGTCAGGTTAACTCAGTGTCCCTCCTGGCTGGTGTTGAAGGAAAGAGATTCTCTCTGTTGGGAGGGGAGCAAACTTGCAGAAGCCTG